TTTTGATCTTTTTTCATGTATTGATAGAATGATTTATTTGGTTCTTTGTATTTTTGAGGTTTATTTTGATTGTCTTGCTGTTTTTGTCTACATTCGGAAATACTATGTCCGTATCGTCGGCAATAATTACACCATTTTTTGAAAGATGGTTTGCCTTTGAAGTTTGGGTTCTTTTCATAAATATTGAGTATTTCAGTGATTTTTTCAACGAGGTCTGTCTCTGATTCCTGTATATTATTAATATTAGTGGGAGTCGTTTCAATTCTGTTAACGTATTGTAGTTTCAGATTTTCCGTTTCTTCTAGTTTCATCGTGATTTCTGCTTGTTCTAATTTGTCTACTAGTTTTCGAAAATCTAAATCGGGTTCTCGAATTGAAGAAGGATGAGATGCTCTCTTTTTTATTGCTATTTTCCTTAATTGTGGTGTTAAGGTCATCATTAAGATTTCTGTCATCTTTGTGTTTTTATAGTCATGTGTATTTAATGAATATGCTTTTCGAACTAGTGTTTCGATTCGTACTGCTATTTGCTTGATGGTTTCGTTTGGTAATCTGCGAATTTCATTACATAAAACTCTTTGTTGTTGTTTGTTTCTTTCGGAGTCAAACATTTTTGAAAATTCCTGTGTAAACCTTTTCCAGTTTGATTTTATTTCTAGAGGTAGTACTGAAAACCATTTTTGGGCTGCGCCATCTAAGGTTGTTTGTATTAACGCTGTGCGTCGATGTATCCAGTTTTGATGTAGTGGCGTATTAATTGGTTCAGGTCCAATATTTAAAATCAGGTTTGCTGTTACTGCATTTAAATAATCTTCTACAGAGTATTCAGGGTCTGTTCCTGTGAAAACCATTAAAGGTTTGTTTGATGTTATTGATGATCCACCCATAAGGTATGGATTCATTGTCATTTGTAATGATTCTGCTGCATTTGGCATTTGAGAAAAATTCGAAAGTTGGTTTCTTGTTATTTCATGTTGTTGGAGATAATATGGGAGTGGTATTTCATTTTGCATTTGTGATGCTTGATACGAGTGTGTAGTCATTGGATTTTGTTGTTGAATTGGTTGTTGATGTTGTGCATCTATTGGTTGTGGAGAAAAATTTCTATGATTTGTACGTGTTCTCTGTATTCCTTGTCTACGATATTCTTGAGTATTTTGTGTAAATATATCCGGTTGTAAGAAATCATCATCTGAGGATAAATAATCCATTTGATAAGATGTCTGTTTTTTATTTTTATTTTGTTGAAAAAATGGGTAATTTTCACTGTGATCCTGTGGAGGATTTGTTTGGAAATTTATTGGTTTAGGTTGGGTCATTGGGTTATCCCAATTTCGAGATCTTATATATTGGTTAAAATTTCTTTGTGGTTGATTATATGTTTTTGATGGATGTGTATAATTATAATTATGATCTGCAAAGTTGTTTCTAGTGAATGTTTTGCGTGTTTTTGATGGTATTGTCATGGGTCTGTATGTTTGGTAATCCATATGTGAATATTTAGGGGCAACCGAAGGTTTAACGGTTGATTGTAAGGTTACCTGTGTTTGTGAAGGATTTGTATTTCTTGGTGTTGTTAAATTTGGGCGTATTGGTGAAATACTTTGTTGTGTAGTTGTTGTGCGTACAATTTCTTCATTTATGAAGTGTGATGGTGTCTGTATATCTTGTTGAGTAAGATTCCTAGTTCCATTGAGGTTTTCGTTGTGTATGACTGTAGAGTTTAAACTATTATTTTGTGTATCGGGTAAAAATGTATTATAGTTTAATGGTGTTGCATCAATTGTTAATGGTATTACTCTTACATAATCTCTTATGTAAGATATTGTACCTATTGCTTGACTTGAGATTGATTGTGGAAAGCTTATAAATGCGGGATGAGACCATTCGGGGTCCCAAACATAATCTGATTGTTCTGTGATAGCGGTATCATCGTTCGAATTTTGGGGTCTAAAATTTTTTCTTGCTTGTGCAATTAAATCAATATTGTGTGTGAAATAATCTATTATGAACCATGCCAAAATTTTTTGTAAATCGTGTTTGGTATGTTGTGAAACGTCGTCTTTCGTGAAATTTTCTTTTATGATGTTTAAATAACTAGAGAGTAGTGTGATTTCATGTCGTACTCTTAAATGTTTAGATGTTTCTGTCGGTGAGACATTTGTTAATGGGAGTTCATTTTCTAATATCGAAATATAACTATATATTATTGCGAAAACTTCATTGGTGAAAATGGAGTTTGCTCTTTGTGAGTTATGGTATTGGATGCTTTTTATATATTCTGAAAAAACTTTTGAAAATTCTAAATCAAGGTCGTCTGTTTGAATTGTATATTTTCTATTATTATGGTTTGGTGAGGTGAATTCTATGGAGTAGATTCCATACTGTTGTGTTATGTTGCATATATCTTTTAAGTAGTGGTCTATGATTTGTCTTTTGATTTTTACATCTGGGAACTCTGTTTTACATGGACTAATTCCGGGTTCAAATAAATTTACGAGTAAATTTTGACAAAATATGTGTTGTCCTCTATCAGTATCTGCGTCTACTATAAAAGGAAAGATTTCATCATCATCTGGAGTTTCTTCACCTGGAGTGTGCGTTGAGCTCATTTTTTCGTTCGATGACTGTTAATATGTAATTATTAATGTGTCGAATTGGTTGATTCCAATTGTATAAATGTACTGGTTTGTGTTTGTACTGCTTTTTTATTCTTCTTTTTCCTCTTTGTGATGAATTTGAAGTTGTTTCTGAGTCAGAAAAATATAGTTGATCGTGAAGTGGGCAATTTTTATCTATTGATTCTTTTAGTTTGTAAAGTTCGTCTAAACTGTTGGTTTCTGATTCTGAAAATGCGTTTCGATTTTTTGAAAATCTTTTTCGTGTTATTTGTCTTTGTTTAGTTATTATTTTCCTCTTTAGTGTTTGTCGTTTTGTGCGAATGTATCCAACTGTTTGTGTATGAGGTGTGATTACAAGGTCGTATTTTTTGTTATCTATTTCACAATTGTGTAAAACGATTGTTTGTTTATTTCCTAGGTTTTTAAATGACATAAGGTTTAGGATGACGGATGCAAAAAGTTGTTAAGTGAATTCTGATTACTTAAACTGTTAGTTCTTACGATTTTTTGGTTAGCTTAACCTGGGTCTATTTGTTCAGGGTTGGAGAGAAAAGTATATCGATTCCGAAGAATGATTTTTACTTTCTCGTGACTAGTATAAGCTAAGGTGTTAACTTACTTAATCTTACTTAGGGGTAGTGATTGTGTTCAAGGGTTGGAGAATAGTAAATCGATCCACAAGGTTCAGGTATAATTAGAACGCGAGTAGTTCGTTAGATACTATTTTAAACTTACTAAGTCTAAAATTTATCCTGGGTCTGGTAAGAGGGGGGGTCAAGTGAAGGATGAATAACCGAAGTTCTTCACTGTTTATCCTAATTTGAATGATTAGTTTTGTTTAAAAATTTCTATTAGTCCTGGGTTTTTAGAGAGGGTTGGATAGTGAATCGACGTTTGAGGTCGTTAGACACTAATTAAGTGGGTGGGGGAGAACAAAGTTGTTCTGTTTGATCCAAGGATAAGCCTTGATGATCAAGTTTGAAATTTAATTAAGTAGAAAATGATTTAAGATCCAAGGATAAGCCTTGATGATCTGGTTTTAAAATTAAGTGACTTTAAGTTTTAATAAAGTTTTAAATTTGTGTAAAGGAAAGATTTAGTGTTTTATGATGTTAGTGAGTTGATGATTGCTGTTATGTTTTAGGTGATGAAGCTGGAACAACAGGATGATTTATGATTACTAACCATTTATTGTCATGCTACTAATTTTTATTTATATTTTCCAATAAATATTTTTCAAACATGTTTTGTATATTACTGCAGAGTTTTAGGAAAACGATCTAAGATCTTTTTATCAATCGTTATTGTATAATATTAATTTTGTTTAGCGCCTGAAATGATTTTGAAGATTAACTTCAAGGTTTTATGTTTGCAAATGGAAATCTAAATTCATTGCAAGTAGTATTCGAAATATAAAAGTTTGTTCTGGCTTTTGCCGAACTATCATATAACTATACGGCAAGTTTCTACTTTGTCGTATGTCGTCTTTGGTTCGAGGTCTTCTTCCAATTCCGGGTAGTTCTGTTATGGTTCGGAATATTGGCTCTGATCTATTGAGTCGGAGAGACATTTCAATTAAATTATTGTCGTATAACATTTTGTAAATGTTTTTGTCTAATTTCTAATCTATTTTTGGTTAATTCTAATCTAGTAAGGTCTTGTTCGAGACTTATGGTCGCACCAGATGAGTTAGGACTGGAGTGTATAACTCATAGAGTAATTTCGGATAGGGTACACCGTCTGCTCGTCACGCTATCTTATTTTCGGCCGGATAGATTCGTGCAACTTCTTAGTCTAATACCGATCCTAATCTTACTCTTATACTATCTAGTCTCAGGTTGTTTAACTAGTCTCTGCTAGGCTCAATAGATCTAGGGTATACTGGTTTATTGCGGCTGCTGAAGTGCTCGGGAGAGTCCAACTAATTTCTAAGTTAAATTCAAATCTCTCTGGTGCTGAAATTACAAGTAACTTCAGCACTTACAAATAAGTGGGTTGTTAGTTAGATGGATCATGATTGGTTAATATTAAATACTTTACATTGGTAAAATATCTAATTTATCCAATCATAAAATGTAGTTTAGATCAGGTTCCAAAATCCTCATCATTATTTAGCTTGAAAATTAGGCCAAAAACCAAATCACTATTGTTTTTGCGCATAAGTTTCTTTAAGTACAAATCCGATAGCCCGCAAAGAAAGCTTCGCGCATTTATTACGAAACTCGATGTTTAAACTTTCTGGAAAAATCAACACAGCCAGCCAATTATTTTACATTGGCAATTTCATTCTGAAAAAACTACCAAGGTGTTTACTGGTGTATTACCAATCAATCTTGTTATACTGTTTAACAAAAGATTCTTTTTGAGGCTCTTCTCTACCTTTGATTAGACCGGCCCTGGCCTTCTTGTAGAGTCCCTTGACGTCCCTCGTCTCACAAACTTCCAGAGGAGCATCGACGAAGATCTCGAAGAACTTCAGATTGGCCTTCTCGTGGATCTCACGTGCCTGTTCTCTGTCCTAAAACAAAAGGGTCGAACTACTGTCAATTTGAATAGAGTTAGCAGATATTAGTCTAGATTGATTATTTATGTTTTGAAGGTAAAACCAATGTAAGAATTCCGCACAGACCAATATCCCGTTATTTTGCACAAGCGCCACTGAAGTCGCGTTCATAGAAACTATTTTTCAGATTCTTTCACACGAATTCACCTTCATTCGTTACCCAAAAAAAGACAAGAAAGGTCTAATTGAACTTATTTTTACAAGTCCATTTCCAAAAATATAAGGTCATATATCATGTTTTTCAGAGCATGAATTCACTGCTTACTATTTAAACATCTGCATGCTATTTCAAATAGCTTTGTATTGAAGCAAAACATTCTACAAGGACAAGCGACAAAACGTAGTAGGTATTTGGTTCAATTTATTTCTTTGACGTGCATGGATTAAAACATCCTTATCGAAGCTATTCAAGTTTAAAACTCAGTTATCGCGACAAGTAATCAAAGCTTTCGGATTATGTATTACATCATTAGATAAGATGCATTCAGTAAACGTAGACATCGAATGTGTAAATACTGTAGGCGCGTTCATTATCTGATGAGTCAGACAATTAAATCCACCCGTAATAGCGCCATATTTTATTTGCTTCAATGCAAAATTTAATAGCTGCATTTAACAAACTAATTTTCCACAGAAATTACACGGTACTCGGTCGCAAAACCATTGCTAATCGCAAGGATGAAAACTTTTTAGGCGCTGTTATCATAATATAGAGATCTAGTCATTCATTTCTAATTTTCTTATTTGGGGGTGGAAATATGGACAGATAGGCGAAGCTCGCTTCACAAACACAAGCGAGAACACTACAAAAAGCAGCTCTAGAAAATGCAATAAGAAAAAACAGAAATAAGCCTCAAATTAGCAAAAAATCAGCTAGGTCTAGGATTCGATCTGCGAGCTACTGCAATCAAGAGACAAGCACTAGTAACGAACAAGACTGCTCGTATCGATGGAGCAGTAATAACATGAAAAATTTAATGTAATAAAGTGAAATGATATATTTTTTTAAATATGAGAATTTTTGTGAAAATCATCCTTCCACACGTCATTCAAAGTACAGAGTGATAGATTTAGTAACAAATCAATTATGGCATAAGCTTCCTTCAACCAATTTGGAACGATTTCTATGACGGATTAAACCTCCGCTTACGCGTTAATAGCGCGAAAATACCGCGAGTTAATTGTCCCAAATTGGCAACCTTTAAACCCCATAACGTTACAAAAAATGATCACAAATGTAATATCTTATTGAATTTAGGATAAAAAAACGATACCTTTTGAATGATATTTTAAAATTCCCTCAAAAATGGCTAGTTAAAAAGTCGAAATTTGTCTGAAAAAAAAACCACCCCGAGCACATTCCGTTATATTCGTTACGAAAGTCGGAACAAAAACTAATAGTGCTTAATTTATTAGATTTATTGGTATTGGAATATAAATACTTAACAACTTGATCAACCTGGAATTGTTGTTTTGTTGAAACATGAGAATATATCAGAATAATTATTAGGAACAGGCGGCGAGTTCCAATGTGAAAATTTAAAAAAGTATTTTTTGAAAACATTGAAATATCTGTTTTTGTTCCGACTTTCGATACGAAAGTAACGGAATATTTGTGCTCGGGGTGGGTTTTTTTTCTTCAGACAAACTTCTTTTAACTAGCCATTTTTGACGGAATTTTTTTATATCATTCGAAAGGTATTGTTGTCCTGAGCTCAAATTTGAAAAGATATTTCACCTGTGATCATTTTTCGTAAAGTTACCGGGGTTTAAAGATTGCCATTTTGGCCAATTTGGGACATTTAACGCGCGATATATTTCGCGCTATTAACGCGTGAGCGGAGAGTTAATCCGTCTTAGAAATCGTTCCAAATTGGTTAAAAGAAGCTTATTTGCCATAATTGGTTTGTTACAAGGAGTAAAATCTATGCCTTTGTATTTTATATGGCGTGTGGGGGGATGCTTTTCATTTAAAAAAAATTCAAATTTTAGAAATTTTTTTTGTTTCATTTTGTTTTATTTCATTGAATTTTTTAATGTTATTACTGCTCCATAAACCTTAAAAGGCAGTCGGAACATTCAGGGCTTCGCCCTGATACGAGCATTCTTGTTTTTTCTTCAAATGAATGCCACACACAGCGCCAAAATGAACAATCAATTAGTGTTTTTTTAGGGATTCGAATTATTGAAAAGACTTTTAACCAAATTCGAATTATTGAAAAGACTTTTAACCAAAGAAATTATACTATGAATGAAGTAAAATGAGTAATATAGAGAGGAACAGAGCCCGGACTTAAAGGTGCCAAAAAATATCTAATTCTCACAACTAATTCTCTGTTTGATGTTATTCAAATACTAACACTTGCGTTCAGCTTTTTGGTGGCATGTGTCGAAAATATATGGTTTTTGCCTCTTCAATTCTTCTCGTTCGCACCGACACATCAAACAAATCATTCAAACAAAGAACTTCATGTGGTTGTCATGTATTTCAAAGTTAAATCGAACAAGACTGCTCGTATATCAGCACAAAGCCCTGTAGTTTCCGACTGCACTTAAGGCCAATTGAAATTTTTTTCCTTGAATAATTGACACAATTTTTTTAAGAAAAATTAAAAAGTGTTTTCCATTTTTTCTTCATTTTACGTAAAATACTACACGGTAAAATAATGAGGGTGTGTTTAGCGTCTCCTATTGTGATAATAGGATTAAATTGCTGGCCTCAAACGCCCGTAACTTTACGAAAAATGACTCAGGGTGCAATATCTTTTTTAACTTGAGTTTAAGATAACAATATCTCTCAGATGGTACAAAAATTCCGTCAAAAACGCTTTGTTAACATGTCAAAAACTGCTTGAATAAAATATACACCAAGCATAGATATTCCGCACTTTCTTAGAAAATCGGAACAATAAAGCAGCTACATATGCTAATAAATTGCCAATGCGATTCAGAAAAAGTGGCACAAATTGCAAATAGACACAATTTTGCAAGTAATAATTTGAGCAAACTAAAGGCATCCACTTTGAATGTAACAAATCGCAAAGCATAGAGCCACATTCTTTATAAATTATGCATTTAGAAAAATTGCTAGATATATTAAGTTAGAAAATTTGTGAAATCGAATTTTTATTATTGATATGTTGCTTAAAACAAATCGCTTTTTTTCGGTTTATTTAATGAATTAAAAATGCATCAACTGTGCTAGCCTATTACTATTCGAATGTCGAAGCACATGCTATCAAAAAGCTGAAAAGGTGCCCGAAAATGGCACCAATATTTGCGCTAATCTTAATAACACGCTAAGCTTACGCTACTGTAAAGACTATGGTTAAAAGTAAAAACAAAAAATCCTTCGAAGAAAAAAATCTTGTAAGAAAAAACAAATGGCCTTAAAGTTCTTTGAAATTATTTCCACTTTCGAAACTAGAAGTCGATTACGTTTTTCGTGACCTTTACCGCCATTTTGCTGCACGATAGAAAAGTTTTTCTCCTTTAACAAAGGAAACAATCTGAATTCAAAAGTTGAACAGCAAAAAAAAATTAAAGCGCGAATACATTTTGAAAGTTTTTCGTGAAAAAATCACCAGGACCATATGAGAATCTTCACTATATTCATTGACTCTTAAAAAGGAATGAGTACCTTTCTGAATGGTGAGATGAAAGCAGTGAGTGCCACTATGCCTCCATCTGCGAACAATTTGGCCACCTCCCCTATTCTCCTGATGTTCTCCTCTCTGTCTGTCTCGCTGAAGCCTAAAAGAATAACAATAATTAAAACACTATTTCTTATCGCAAAGTTTATTATTACAGTAGAAAGCAGATGTACAAATACAAAGTTTACCCTCATCCCTTCGGAACGACCCAGCCTTTCACATGCGACTTCTCCGCCATGGTACACAGGTTTTTAGCCTACTTGTACTATAAATTGAATCAGCTTAGACTCAACCTTATATATTTATACTCCGAGTTAGGCCTCCGGGCTGGTTGACTTTAAAGTTAATCAAAATGGTACCAAAGGGAAACACTAATCCGTGCCTGATATTGACAATTATCCAAAAGCAAGCAAACTTTGTGCACACAGATTTAACATAAACTCATACCTAGGTTTTTGTTCAGCCCGTGTCTGATGTTGTCTCCATCGAGGGTGTAGGCGGGCACACTCTTGCTGCAGAGGTAGTCTTCCAGGTTGAACGCCAGAGTTGATTTACCAGCTCCGGATAGACCTGAAGATTGACAACAATTAATTAAAAAAAACTGGATCGATTTCAGGAAAACAGCTAGAAACAATTGAAAGAACACTTGTTCTTACTTGCAAGAAAACTTGCAAGAACAATTATTGAAACTGGTATAATGAAGCAAAACCCTTCAATTCTGGAAAAAAAAATAAGCAAACAATAATTCTTACATGTTTTTTGAAAAAATCTTAAAATTCGAGTTACAATGACAAAAAAATAGATGCCCTTAGAGCTCTTTGAAGGAATTTCTGGAACAATTTATAGTTGGTAATTTTTCGATAAAAATTAACGCAATTTGAAAAAACTGGATCAATAGATAAAATTTTTATTTTGCCAAGAAATCTGATAATTAAGTTCCTTTTTCAAAACTAGAATTTCATCACAATTTTCGCTGTTCGATAGTGGAGTTTGCCTTCCTCTTAACAAAGGAAATGAACTAATTTTTAAAAGACATGAAAAGTCCAAGCCGCGAAAAAGTAAATTCTTGAAAAAAAATCATCGCTACCTATGTACGAGTCTGAACTACGTTCATCGACTCTTAAACATCACTTCAAACCTTCCACAAGAAAGAAACATCTTCCAGAATTAAGAGCGGTGAATGCTTATCCATAAAATTTTCATCCAATTCCATAATAAAAGTCCAAAAAGAAAGTGAAGTTTTTCTTACTTTTTTGATCAAATATGACAAAAATTCCAACGAAATTTGATCACCTGTGAACCAGATAGTGCAACCATGAAATCCATTTCTTTCTCCTGGTCCCATAATCTGACCCCTCTGTTCTCTGGAGACCCTGGATGGCTGGTATGTGACATTGGTTGACCTCATCTCGTTCGATGATGAAGGGCTAGTTGAGGCAGCCTGCAACATGTTCACGTTCGTATAATCGTGCAAGCTAACTTTCAGTTTTGGAAGCTAACAAATATTGGTAAAAATGGAAACAATTTTAATAAAATTATCGTAAAAAATCTATACCAGCACAAACAAAAAACACTGCTGATCAAAAAATCTCGAAAAACATGAAGTAAATGGCATGAAAAATTTATATTAAATAGTGAAAGAGCAAACGAGCAAGAAAAATTATGCAAATGCAAACTTTTACAGCACGGAAGTTACAATCAAATAAGTAATGAGCAAAAAAAACTTACGCGTTCACCGAAAAATTTTATTCAAGCGAGAAGGCCTCAAGTTGATTATAAAGTTTAATTCCCTCTTCCGAGTTTGGAGATAGCAAATACCACAACGCTTGTCACTAAAAACGCTCACTGGAATTATAATATCATGTAAAACAGCGTGAAAATCTGTTGAAGTGGTTACGCGTGTCCAAAACAATGGCGCTACTTAAAACGTGTTGCCTGCTCTAACCAAACAATGTAAGAACTAGTTGAAATAGTATAAAAAATTAAGGATCTCACTTTAGATTTAAAAAGACTACAAAGTTAAGGTTGTATTCAATCGCCTACTTAATCAAACTTCGCTTATCAAAGATATACAAACTGAAAATGACAAACAAATATTCGTCAAGCGTTCATTATCGTGCAACCTTGATTTGCTAACATGTTTATCTACGATATCGAACTAATCTAGTAAAAATCACCGAAAAGGTTAACGTACTAGATAGTATGGTAGTAAGATCGAATTTCAAGGTTAAGTGGTGACTTCTGGTTTAAACAACGTACGCATTAATCAAAATCTTACCATGTTTTACACAGGATAGAACGATAAATCGATGTGTGATTAGGTCTGTCACTTGTTGAGCAAGGCCACTAATTCGGATACAATCCACTAAATTTGCTAACTGTTGTGATATGTAGGAAATTGAACCGAATTAAAGTAATTTCTTCAAAACAATAACCCCAGTCCAGTTAGGTTTGTTTGCACTTCACGTGGGTATTTCTTCAACTAGCTAACCAGCTTGGTCCAACCTCGGATTAACTTCAAATAAACTGAAAAACACACTAGTTACGGCCGTTTATAAAGTTCAATGCAGGGCATCATTCAACTTTAAAAACGAATATAAAGGAGATAGAGAAAAATCGTTAAACTCGGTTTGTATGATGGTTTTGAAAATTCAACCTAAAACATTACTTTTTCACAGAGGCGAAGCAAGCTTCACACCACTTCCGATTAAAAAATAGAACGGCAGCTAGCCAAAAAAAAATAGGACAAAAGCCACTGATTCGAAAATAAAGTATAGAGAGGCGAAGCAGAGCTTCGAGACCACTTGCGATAGAAAAATGTGTGGCTCTCACTACTTGCAGACGAACCGACAAATCGAACAAAACATTCAAACATTTTTCCCAAAAAAAGAAATTTGCCGAATTATCCGATTTGTTGACTCTCACTACTTGCAGCTGAACCGACAACTGAAACAAAATTTTCAAACATTTTTCCCAAAAAAAAAAGAAATTTGCCAAAATATCCGATCTGAATTAACTGCAGCTTTAGAAGTTTTACAAAGAGAGGCGAAGCTTCAGACTACAAAGATAACTGTAAACTAGATATTTTGCGCTACTAAAAAGCGATTGCCTATCTCGTTTTTTATACAGGACAGGTTCTAGTTAAACTTAAGTTGACACAAAAACAGAGAAAAAGCCAGTTGACAAAAAGCGTCAGAACACAGCGAAGCAGCTAGAGAAAGTTTTGGTCACTACTTTTCTGCTTTCGAAAACCAAACATTTAACCGAGGATAATATCTTCCAATTTGAAAGAACAGCGCAGCGCCATTTCAGACACTTTTTTAAAATAAGTGGACAGAAGAGTAAGCGGATGCATGAATACCGAGGTTACAGTCTAGATATTTTCTAGATATGGAAGTTATTATGATAAAAAGGTGATCTTGGTCTTGATGTCTTTATAATTCAACTCGATACGTGTTACGTTTCTTCAATATCTTTCTATCGGATCTCAACATTGACATATTTCTATCGGATCTCAAAAATCGTAAAGTCCCCGGGGAGGCCCTTTGTGGGATCGAAGCTGTGGCAAAAGCCTATGCTAGAAGGTTAAAACAAACACCATGTGACAAAGGCGTTGAGAGGGCCCGAAAATATCTGAAGAGTAATGGATTAGTTGCGGTACAGTATGACAAAGGCGTGGGTTTTTGTGCAATGAGGAAGGACACCTACGAGAACAAGTTGTCGGAGACATTAGATTCAAATCAATTCAGCGAAAGTAAAGACACAAGTGATGCGATTGTTTTGAGGATAGAAAGAGACATCAATGAGGAGTTGTTGGCTACGAGGAAAAAAGACGAAATAAGTGAGAACCTCTACACAAGGATGAGAACTACTGGGGGGCAGCCCGCCAGGCTTTATGGGTCGGCGAAAATGCATAGAGTGAATACCCCATTAAAACCGGTCCTCTCCTTGCCTGGTAGCTCTTAATATAACTTGAACAAGGTTCTTGCAAAATTTTTTTGAGAAAATTGAGGGCGCAAACATCGAAACCAACTCACTAGATGCGAGAGAAACCTTAGAGAGCACTAATCTTGAGCCCAATGAAAATTTGATATCTCTAGATGCGAAGAGTTTGTATACAATTGTTCCACTGAAAGAAGCAACAGGCATAGCTCTGAGAAAACTGTATGAGCAAGATGAACCACCATCAATTGCTAGGAAAACCATGAAGAGACTGTTGAACATGGCTGTTAGTCAAGACCATTTCAAATGCATTGAAACATTGTACGTTCAGAAAGATGGTTTGGCAATGGCGGCATCTCTTGTTGTTGTTTTAGCAAATCTTTGGCTGAAGCAGTACGAAACTGCACTCTCGAGGGATATACCCGAAACGTTTTTGCCCGAGAAAAATCCAACGGAATATGTCCCGAGTGCAATAAGAAAGTCACGTACAGGTCAAAAGGTGTCGAATGTGAATGCTGTTTGAACTGGTATCACGTAAAATGTGGTGATATATCAGATGATGAGTATCGAAATATATGTGAAACCGTCTGGTACTGTAGAAAATGCATCGCAAAAAGAGAGAAAAATAAGTCAGTGCAGCAAGCTAAGATATTTCTACGTTACGTTGACGATATAGTGAGAACAGTGAAGGGTGATCCTGAAAAAGTGCTACGGGCTGCAAACTTACTACATCCAAATTTACAGTTCACAATAGAGACAACAAACACAAACGGAAAATTGGCATTTTTGGATTTACAAATTAGTATTGACAAAAGCAGGAAATGTGCCATTCTGCCAGATTGGCACAGCGCAACCTTCCGGCGAAACACGAATCAGCGAGAAAAGGTCTTAACAAAAAAAGTGCTGCGAAGGAGGGTAGAAATATTCTAGAAATTTCTATTTTCAAAGTTTCGATTATCAAGTGGATATTTTTTAGAAATAAAAAAACGGCCATTTTGACTGAAAAAGGTGAAAAAGTCAGAACAACAGCAAATCTAGTGGAAAACAGTCGCACATTATCACAGAAAAACGAAGCCTCTTATCGTGACAATCACGCACGATAAGATTCTTAGCAGAAGAAGATAGTGGGAAAGGAGGCTTTGGTGGGGAAGTGGTGGAGAGCAGTACCCTCCCGGGCCACGAAATGGGAGAGATAACGACGTTATCTCGAGAAAAACACGGAAGCGGAGGCTCGGTCCCCCAGAGACTGATATATGGTGAAAAACTATAGTAAACTAACTTTTTAGCTACTCTGATGCCATAGAACTTTGAATTGACCCCGGTATTATTTGATATTTTAGAATATGAGTAGCTAGGAAGAGGAAAGGGTCAATCCATCTCCAACGGATTTAATATAAAACTGTCACCAAAAACATATTAAAATAGGGTATTCGAGCCGTGTTTTCAATAGCAATCACGTAGTCTGAGGATCCGAGACTCAGCTATGTGGTTGTGTTCGCATGTAAACGAAAGCTGATCAAAAGTCGTTTGACTGATGGCCTAAAGTTAGTAACTTTTTACTTAGCCCTAAACAGACCAGAAAATCATCTGGCAAGGTTGAGACGGTGAAAAACGAGTAGAATTTTTTGTTTAAACTACGCTCATTTTAATTATTTTTAGGTACTTTCACTAGGAATTGCGGAAAAAGTCTTTCAGAACCTATATAGGTGGTGAAAAAAGGCCATTTTGACAAACGCGTTTTTGGCAATTTCTCAGAGACTAGCCAAACGATGGGCATAATTTTGATACCATACGTCGACGTTTTTGACCACTTTTCCGGACCGCCACCGTTTTTGGGTTGGTAATCTCGGAAAAGTATTTTTTTTTTAGAATTTGTTGTCTCGGAGGGTCCAAATTTTAGGGAACCCTCCGAGCGTCAGAAAAGTAACTCGGGTGATTAAGGTACCCTCCGAAGTAACCCTCCGAGGTAAGCTAAGTGTCTTAACAACCCTACTGAGTAACCCTCCGGAGTGACTTAAGCCTCTTAGCAACCCTCCTTATTGAAAATTTAGGGGTATCTTCTGGGGCAATTTGAGCAACTAGAATATCCATTTAGAGTCGGAATAAAAGGTCAACTACTAACGGGCGTGCATATTAAGACCACAGGAGCCCATTTTAACCGGAGATTTGTGATCAATTTTGGATTCTAGATCGGGTCTGTTAGAAGTACCCGACAAAATTTTTTTTGGTTGTGATTTTGGTTGTTTGGTTGCCTTGAGCTACTTAATAGGAAAGCTCGGGCAATCCGAGAACACATAAAAGAAGACCTCGTTGAGTGTATTAGGCAGATACACACTCACTTGAGAAGGAAAGTTGTTCCCTGCTCTCGTGCACTTGGAGCGTTCCGGGTGTGGGGGAACTTTTTCATAGACTTTGGAAATTTTTCGATCAGAGGTTGCCTTGAGCTACTTAGTAGGACAGCTCGGGCAATCTCAGGACACCTAAAAGAAGTCCTCGGTGGGAGTATTAGGCAAATACACACTCACTTGAGAAGACTGTGTTCTGAGCTTCGTTCTTTCGGAGCGTTCCAATTGAGGGAAGTCTTTTTCTTTAAGACAAAGTTTTATTGATCTGTTTTGAATCATCACTGCCTTTTTACAAAATTTTGTTTGATTTTAACAGAGCAGTGATTTGATAAGAACGTGGCGGTAAATTGATACTGAAGAAAGGTCGCTGTCACCTGTAGGAAATTCTTATCTGATTATCAATTGTGTTTTGTGTATTGATTATATCTTGTGAAAATGTTGTGATACTGTTATACTATACAACGGGGTTGAGTTAGCATTATATCAATACTGAGCAGGCCCTGTGCGTAACTTTAGCTGGGTCACTAATATTATCATCGAGAAATCTAAGGGAACTTTTTGATACTGACGAGATCGAGTAGGCAGCGTTAAGTAAATTAACTTGAACTTGTTTGCGGTACGTGTGCATTGCCATTAAATTGTACGAATATTGTTATTTATTGCAAAGTATGTAGCGTAGAGACTCGTTAGGATTGACTACTAAGATTCCCAGGCTGAGCAAGGGAAGCACGCGAAAGTTTAAAACTAGGTGTAGCCAATCTTTGTTTA